TCGTTTTATTAGGAAATGTAATGACACACGGTTGAAATGAAAGTGTTCAAATAATAAATGGACTGTAAGTATTCTAACAGACTCAGAAAAAAAAATTATTGATTCAAAGACTCGGTAAGCATTATCATTCCGATATCCCTACCTCTACTATAGAACGTCAAGTTGTACGTGAAAACTGCAAGCGAAAAGCCGTAGATTGCATTTCAACAAGGCCGAGTAAAATAATACACACTGAACTTTTAACAGACAATTATTCAACTCTATGTCATAATGACTTTAATATGATTAGGAAAACCATGTACACCGAACGAAGAAAATGTTATTCACCATTTTCTAAGTCACTCGATGAAGCATTTACTCAGCTTAAGGAAAATCAAAATGAAAACACTTTTATGTATAAAGGCCAACAATTTATTCCAGAGTAGCCCGATTGCGGCCCGAATACAGGTAGTCGTATTTTATCCCAAATATAAGTATCCTGATTGCGTCCAAAAACGCATTGGTTCACAAAATACCTTATAATTAATAAAATAAATTCAATATTTTAAATACTGTATAAATGTTTATTGGACGTATTTGTGTTTGAAATTCAAACTTTTATTATAATATTATGAAGTACGTCGATATACCTAAATTATTATAAAATAATTATAAATAAAAATAATATTTAAACACATGGCAAGTATACTATAATATAATTCTTTCTCGATGGATATAATAAAATGAATTGTTTACAATAAAAAGAGATATGAAGTACAATTAATTTGTCAATAAATAGGTATCTAGTCAAATATTAAACCACTTAAATAGTATTTCCTACCTACTATGGACAGGCCGCAATCGGGATAGGCAAAAAGGTAAAAAGTTTACCAATCGGGCGACGTCCATTTATTCACGTACCTGACAATCAATTGTTTATATGTTTAACTAAAATATAAAATATGGAATTTATGACGACTTGTACTGACTTTTTTGGCGACGGTACATTTGAATATGCAACGAAATATTTTGTTCAGCTTTACACAATTCATTGTTTTAAAAATGGCCATTATGTGCCTGTAGTTTACTTTTTTTTTAAATGACAAATTAAAAGAAACGTACAGTAACATATTGTGGAAGTTTATTGTTGATTTATGTTTTAAAATGACAAACCGAGTGTTAAACATTACTAATTTGCACTTTGATTTTGAACTTGGAGCCCACAAAGCAGCGGTAGAAATGTTCCTTTAAGTTAATATTATTGGTTGCAGATTCCATCTAGGACAAGCATGGTGGCAAAAGGCAAATTAAAAATAAATTATACTTATAATTATTTTATTATTTTAATTTTTTAAACAGTAAACTTTTAAAATTATTGGGAAGTATATCATTTTAATTGAAACATTTATTTTTATTTTAGATAAATAGTGAAAGTAAACTTCGAAATGCATATAAAAATTTTGATGATGACCTAGGAAATTGGCTAAAGATGTTTTTTGGTCTTCAATTTATAAACCATGACGAAGTTGAAGATGCATTCGTGGAGTTTATCGCTGTTTGTCCAAATGAAGAAATTGGTCACATTTTTTCAGATTATATTTTAAATAATTACACAAAGCTTGGCTGTCCGTTCAATACAAAATTGTGGAAAATGAAATCTTCGAAAAATCCCAGGTAAGTTTCAAATAAATTAATACATGCAAATTAATAATTACTACAATTAATAACTTTCTAGGACTACCAATGCCGCTGAAAGCTTTCATAGAACATTTAACAGCCAATTTTATAGTTCTCATCCAGCAATAAATATTGTTATTCAAACACTAATTGAAACACAATCAAAAACATCATTAAAAATAGCAACGATAAAACAAAAGAAATACCAATAAAACAAAAGGAAAAATTAATTAATATTCATAATAAATATATGTGGTATGTAGCAAATAAAAGTTCAAGTAATTTATTAAAATATTTAGAGTATGTTGGATTACGTTATCTTGCTATAACTAATTTATAGATAACTCATTTGTTATTACTTATTACTTATTTATTACATTTTTATACATAGGTATTACATTTTTTTTTTAAATTCTACATTTTTTAAAAATTTTTAAACATATTTATATTACAAATGACTTTTTTCTAGAATATTTGTTAAATGATAAATAATAAATGATATGGCAACGTTGCACGTAAATTCGTTTTCAATCGTATTCTTTTTTGGGTTTTTTTAGGGTCAGTGGTAAGTTCTTTGTTATTTTTAAGTGTTCTCAATCATTTGATAGCCATTTACTTTAATTATATTACAGATATAAATTAGTGTCTTCATTTTAAGTGTATATATTATATACCTATATAATTGTAAATAATAAAATATTTGATTAACATAAAAATTTTAAATTAATCTAAAATATTAAACATTCTCTTATAAAATAAATCTATTAATCATAATATATTAATTATCATTGAACTATTAAGATAATTTAATTAGAATAATATTTAAATGTCTGTTAATATATTTATTTTATCTATATTTAGTTTTTTACATCATAAACTTGTCAATTTTTCAAGCAACGAAATTTGTTTTGGTGAAATGTTTTGATCTCCATCCAGGGTGTCAATAAAATAACCGGAATTCTAAAAACAATGAATATAAATAAGTAAAGCAAGGATTTTCAAGCACTAAAAAATTATCAAATATGCACTTATGCATCAAAAAATTTAAAATATGCAGTTAAATATGCCCTCAAAAAAATTAATACACTAAAATTTATAGCTCTAAAAATTATATTTTTTCTTTAAATATTTTAATAATTTTATATTATCTCTCTAAAAGTTTTAACTGAATTCGATATCACTTTATTGTAATCTAATCTACAGATTCGCAACTATGATAAAATGACTCTCTTTTTTCTTTATGAGAATATAGAAATAGTAAAATATAATAATTTGTGTCCTTGAAAAACATGATTTTCGAAAAACCTTCAAAATATGCACTACAAACTAATAATATGCTCTTATAATCAAAAAATATGTCCTTTAAACCCATAAATGTCAAAATATGCACTATAAACTTTGAGATTTTGGTCATAAACATTGTAAAATGAAATGTATTGTGTACTTACTCTGCATACGAAAAAGTAAACCAGAAAAAATAATATGTGAATGCATGAAGTCCTTGCTTTCTAAATAGGTTTAGATAGGAGTAATTAATCAATATATTTATATAGTATAATTGTGTACTATTTAATAATTAACAAATTAATTTTATTTTTTTTAAAAAAGAATCAGAGAAATTAGTATCTGGTTTAAATATTAAATTAAAAAAAAAAATTTTTATTGAAATGTTATATGTGAAATATTTTTTTATATTAATAATAAATAAATTGTATTTAAATATTTATATTTTTAACCTGTTTTAAAAACTTTTTCTTACTTTATTCAAATTCTTTATTATTAAATAACAAATTTTGTATTTCATTTTTCTAAATGGGCATTTGGATATGGTATTACAATAGATACTTATAGTAAATTATCAATGCTTAGCGTGTTTAGAAAAATAAATAATATCCATTTTAATTTAATTAAATAATATAAAAATTTTACCCAGAATATAACTAAGAAAAGTTTAATGAAAAGTAACTATAAGAAACTACAAAACTGAAGTTGAATGTTTAAGTAGATACTGAGCATGGGTTGTATTGGGTAGAATTGTTTTTCTAATAGTATTCTATTAAATAATATCAATAACCTAACAGGTTACCTACAGTTGAAAAAATTACTGGGAATTTTGAGAAAAAAAAACTAAGTTTTATGTGATGATATTATTTTTATACTAATTTATTATATTTGTTATATTAGTCTTAACTATCTATCTAGACATCTAGTCAACTGGTTTATGGATCAACTGTTCACTATTGGGAAACAGGGAATGGTAAACTCCTACAAATGTAATTTAATCTTCTACATAGACATAGTGTCAACTAATATAAAAAATGATAAAAAAAGGATACCGCTCGTACCGATATATAAATATATTAAAATTTAATAAAACAATAGTAATAATTCATAATAATTTACGTTTATTTTTGTGGTAGGTATACTTTGAAGATAAACTTTAAACGTGAAATTTCTTTTTATTTTTTGTTAAGTATAAATTCATAATTTTAAATTGTTTTTGTTTGTCTGCGGTGTGTTGATACTAGACTAATTAGTAATTATTATCGCCGATCTATTATTATTTTGTACTGCAAATGCAGATATGAACATAGGTATAATATAGTATATAATATGGATATAACCAACCTTCAAGAATTGTCATACATCGTATAAACACGCTCTAATTCAAGTGTTTGTATTTTATATATTTATTATTTTCAAGTTATGATCATTTTTGAGCTTTACAACTCAAAAATCGTGAATTTAAATAATATCACCCTATTTTTTTCAGGTAAAAATGTAAAAAGGTAATTGGTGTAGTAGTTTACATTTGCCCCTAGAAACAGTTCATTTGCCTTAGTGCGTAGATTCACGATAGCACGATGTCATTTTCCAATCCTGGCTTAATACACAGGTATTTTTTCGATTTAGTTTTGATTGTGTACGCATATCATGTGATCTGCTTGTTAATATTATTGTAAAACGCGGACATGCTTGCATGATAATTAAATAGGTATAGTAATTAGTAATAACAAAATCATGCCTTCCTTGACTATAAAACATTTCTCTTAAGTCTAAATCATACTATTACTACTATTACTAGAGTATTTAAGCCTTGATTTCTGCTGTGTAGTATGTGCCGTGTACTATGATTTGTAATTTTGTTGATAATGTTAATTATCATTGAATCATTGTCCACCGATAACAGCGCTATGCGGCACTAATGCGTACTATATAGTGACGACTGCAGTGTGTACTCTATATGGTTATTGGTTAATAGTTAGTGCTCACTAACCATCTGTTTTAGGCACATGTATAGACTGTACCTACTCTGCGCAGTACCCTATAGCCACGTCAACGTCGTAATAGTGACTTAGAAACTTAGTTAGTAATAAAGTAAGTCTGTACCGTGAATCTCTTTTAAGCTTTTCCGTCGCTAAGTTTATCTAAGAAAACGTTTTCATACAAGTCGTAATATACCAAAGAATCATTACATCTTACAAATCACAATGAATGCAATTTGCTCAATTCCGAATTGTGAAAACAAGCCTCCAAAAGTAAAGTTGTTTAAGTGAGTATAATTATAAAGGAAATATATGTTTATGTTTATAAAAAAATATATATTTTTATTTGTTTTTATCTAAATAAATTTACGGTCAATATATTAGACAACTCTAATAGTTTAATGGTATTTTGAGTTAAACTATTATCTTTTATGGTAACACTATATTTGCGTGAATTGTATAGTGACGCATAAAATTTCCTGTAATATTTACATATTACATTATTACATATAATGATTAATTTTACAATTAATCATGAAATTTAACTCCAAGAATTGTGAACAGCTATTTCTTATGCTACATCTATTAATCATGTTGGTCACTCTGTCTTTTTCGGTAAAGTATGGATCAACATCTATATTTATGTAAGGACTTTGCGTATTTTTCAAATCAACAAAAATTTGTACCTATTTTTTTAACTCGACTATCTACTGCGGTTTTCAAAGCATACGGAACCTAATACGTCCAATGGCATTTAGGAATACTATTTACTCTTTTAAATTAACTTTGTGATGTTTATACATTCTTTTTTACCAAATAAACTTTTTACTACTCTTGGAATCTTCAACTTAATTCCTCTAACTAATTCTATATCTTTACTTAATTTTCATTCACTATTTTATTATTCTTTAGTTTATTTACTGTATTCATTTACCTAATTATAATTTATAGTGACTATATTTTTTTTTTATTTGGAAATAGTTTATTTAACTGCACAAACGACACAAGAGTAATTTTGTTACACAATTTTCTATTACTAAGATTAATAAATTGATAATTTGATTTTTTAACAAACTAATATTTGTATTGACTTGACTAACTACAAAAATAAAAATTGATTCTCCATTTACAAATGTAATATTATTTTTTTTTCGAAAAATTTTTTAAGAAATTGTAGCACTACCATCTACTTTAAAAAGTATTACCGTTGATATTCAAAATTCAAATCGACAATTAATGGTTAATTTACGATTATATTTTTAATATTATATGTACATGCATATTTTTAACAGATTTTTTTTTTTTAATTTGCACTGTAACATTCTTTTGCATTTTGCTGTACAGGAACGAGTATCATAATTTCTTCTACTAGCTCCACTCAGATGACATTGACTCATTACTTATTTATTTTTGATTGTGACGGAACTTATATCTACTTCCTAGTTCTAGCTACCTCGTTTTTAGCTGGCTACTATTCAACACTGTATTATTTTATTAAATTTATTTGATTTGCTTAGATTTAACTTTTTTTTGTGATTCGTTTCTATTCAATTAACTTGTGTTTTATTGTTTATCTGATGAGACTCATTTTTGCTTATTCTTTTATTAATTTCGTATCCAAAGCTTTTTCACAAACTTTTTTGAATAGTTATTGATATTTTATCAACTAAATTTCTTTAAAAAGGATCATTCTCTAGATCTAAAATTATTCTATTGCGGAAAACTTAATATAAAAATTTGCTAAATTCAAAATAATTTGCTAACTATTTTAAAGTACTTAATGATGAATTTATATACTATAACTCGACTTGACTTAGTTTGACTCAAAAGAGTCATTCACCTTCAAACATTTTTACTCATTTTGAAACAGATGGCTTAATCAAAAAATATTTTAAATGGTCACGCATAACTTTCGTCACTGCGTTACGCAAAATTTTCTGATTTAATTGCTGTCACCCGATTACTTGACTGTACAATTTAATTATTAGAATTATAGACATTTTTAATTTTTTACGTGTTCATGCTAAATTTGCTGGGTAAAATGTTCCACGTAATTAACTCAAGTAACATTAAACTAAACGAAAATCAAATTCAAACAGTAGTTTTTTAAAATTATTTGTATCCCAAGACAACAATGATAATTGGTTGAAAATACTATCATTTATTTATGTGTATATCGTATATTATGTATATATAAATTAAGTTTAATGTATAATTTATTTACTTTTATGTATTACCTAGGATTCCTATAGCTAAGAATTTAAGGAGGATGTGGTTGCTTTCGATAAAACAACATTATCCAAATTATTCCGTATCGTCGCAAAACAATTCTGAATCATATATATGCAGTGAACACTTCAAAGACCAAGACTTTATACATTCAGAAAAGGAATTTTTAAATAGCTTCGCGATCCCAACGGTTTTTAATAACGATAGTTACATCTACGTTGACATTTGTAAGTTGAACAAATATCGATCCTGAATTTAATAATGTTTGGTTAGTTACTAACAATACTAAGGTTTTTTATTGTTTTTGTCTATTTAGATGGTTTACTTCACTGCCCGACAACCAACGATTCCGAAGCAGATGATAGTGAATAAAAATACACAATATTTACAAACAGAGTTAATATTTTACGTTTATAAAAAATATTCTATTTATAATAATATTCTAATAATTTGGTTTGGCTGTACATTTTAGGAAAAAAAAGTCGTCGTGATAATAACTTTATTGTAATGCAAAAAATGCAAAGGCATAAGATAAATTAGGGTATTTGAGTATCTTTAGTAATTATATTTAAATGTTAAAACTAATTCTAAGAATTAATTTAAAAATATTCAAATAATCTTGTTTTTTATCCAAATAACCATGAATTGCTTTTTTGACGTATCTACCTACGTATAACTTATCATTAAAAAAAAAAATAATATATTTAATTTCGAGTAAATAAGGATTTAATGTCAAGAATCTTAGTTTCCATAATTGTTTTTTAATATTACCTATACATTAAATATAGTAAAATAAAGTATGTTACATTTACATTAATCAAGATACAATAAAATATTTGAATAAACCAGTTTGTATATTAATTTTTATAGTGAAAACCTCATTACTATTATTATTCAAGTAAGTTGAAAGTAAAGTTTCTGTAATAAAACAATTTGTTGGATTTCACAGTTAAAAATTAATTAAATAATTTTTTTTTTTTTTTATTATTTATATTTATTGAATTTTATTAAGTATGTTTATACTATATTGCACTATTTATGCAAAAAATAGAAAATTACTTAGGTATGTTATATTTTATCATAAGTTGAATAAATATCAAATATTCATGTTTATTAAATATTAATTAGAAAATATTTTACATTTGATTATTAAAATAATCAGCTTTCTTTAGATTCAGGCTAGTTATAGTCAATGTTACATATTTTTATATAATTCTACTATATCTAATTATAATTTGATAAATATGAAATTTTGATCTTGTATATATTTGGCTAAGATGGCATAGTTTAACCGTTAATACCTAAACAATAACAATCTGAATGATTTCAAGCCATATGCGAAAAGATACAGAGATGAAAGAATACAACTTTTTGGATTCAATTTTTGATTTATAATGACTGTTTAAGTTCATTTATACTGAAATTAAAAAAGGCAGGTTAGTAAGTACCGTTTTGCTGTACATTAGATGTAGGGTAAGTTACTATTATGGGTGTGTTCAATTGGAATCAATGGTATATAATTGTAATACTTTATACAAAAAATGATTTTGAGCACATATTATCCGTCAGCCTATAACACAAATCAAAAAAGTATATTTCTTGATATGTTTTTTTGATATAGTTATTATTAGTCATTTATTTTACTTTTACAAGTAACTATACCTACAGTGGGTTGACGGATTTCGTTAAAATTTTAACTTTAAACGTATTTAAAAAAAAGTTATGCTCTTATATTTTTATAATTTAAATTTAGATATAAGAACAATTTATGTAGTCTAGTAAAAATATTTCAAGAATTTTGACCCAGAAATAATTTTACCATCATAATTTCTCGAAAAATAATTTAAAAATTTCTCACAGCTCAAAGGTCTATTATTGTTTTTTATTTTCATAATTTATACCTATATGATAATAAAAATAAAATAAAAACTTTTAAGTCTATAAATAGTTTAGTAAAGAAAAACCCCCTTTTTAATACTCTTTTACTAATGTACTTAAGTGCGAAGATAATATAATATAGTACAGGGGTCTCCAACCTACGGCCCGCCAAGATTTTTGCACCGGCCCGCCAAGCTTTTTGCACCGGCCCGCCAAGCTAATTAATGTTTTGAAAATAATATATTAATTTTCATTGTTTTTAATTTATTTTTTATTAAATTGATTAATAAATTAAAAAATTATATAAATAAACATACACTTTTTTAAATAAATCTCATCTATTCTTATTTATTTCTCAATTTCATAACCTATCAGATATTCCTAGAATCCTAGATAGACAACATTTTTTTTTTTCTAGACAACACATTCACATTTCTAAAAATGTTGGCCCGCGATGCTAAAGCGTATATCAAATTTGGCCCGCCGTAAAAAAAGGTTGGAGACCCTTGATATAGTATATATGACCTAGAACTCGCTCAAACACGGGTTTACGTATGTGTGTATGTTTGTACGCGCGTTTAAAATGTTTAGATATGTATGATAATAATGATAATATAATAGGTATTTTGTTTTTGATTAAATTTATTTTTACGAATTATAGTTTTTAATTTGTTTTATATTCGATAAAAATATAATCATGCATCCTCATATCATTGATTTTTAATTATCTATGTAGAAGTTTTTAAATGTATTAGGTACTTAACCTATCACCAAGGACTTTTATTGTGGTAGTATCAGTATGACACTCGTTACTTTGGGAAATGCTAAAATAGGTACTAAATAATCTGTTTTTATAGTTCTTCTTTATTTCAATGGTTTTGAAATGTTAACTTTTGCTGTAAATTTTGATAAAAATTAATAACATTTAATATTTTATTAGGTTTTCTCTAAATACACAGAATGTTTTCTATAATTGACCTTGGTGAATTGTTACAAATTTTTTATATCTACGAGTACGTAGTACGTAATAACATTAGTAAATGTATATAATATATAAGTATATAACAATAACTGTATAAGCAGTAAACATTATTTATTTAAATTATAATATAAATATAGTTTGTGCAATTTATTTTTCTATGTAAATAAACATATGTAGATAGCTTGGTTAAACTTTGGCATTACAAGCGTACAACTATAGAATAAATATTCTAAGTAAATATGTTTTTATTCTGTAGTACAACCGTTTAGACTCGACAACGAAAATGTTTGTGAATTGAATTTAATTGATATGATAATGATAATAATATCATTAATCATTATCATCAATATTATATTTATTTTTACATTGCTACATAGGTAATATCACGTTTGTGAATTTAAGACAATATTATAATGTTTAACAAGATTTAATATTGCGTGTTAACTGAGTTCATCTATTCAAGTCAAAGTTAATAAATAAGATAAACCACGCCGCAGTCAGTAGGATTGTAAATGACACCAATTTGTTTCTGTAACTTACCTATAAGTGTAACAATAACATAAGTAATGAATAATATCCAAGACGCTATTGACCTACAAACAGATTTCAATAATATGCAATATTGGTATAATACTAATTATCTTTATTTAAATATTTAAGAATGTAAGTTTATGTGATTTAATTTAATTAAAAATCCAATTGTTTTAAACTATTCTACATTAGATACTAATATTGACTATTGAGCTTGTATCTAACTTAGATGACCATTGTGTTATCTTTGATTCTAAACTTAATTTTTTTTACTATACTGAATCAATTAAGAATAAAATATACTGTGACAATAATGAGCACTAATGATATAGGTTCAAAATAAAATGTAGTTGTCTATTAACACATATTAATATCGGAGCTATTGAATTGGCTCCTTAACTCAGGTAATCATCATTTTTACGTATTTAATTGGCTACCAAGATTTAATATATTTATGCATTGAGTTGGCTCCCTGCACATTTATTTTATAAATCCATTGGTTATCAAAATTGTTTGAAAATAAATTCAACTATATGTACGTCTATACGTTAAAAATATAAAAGTTGAAAAAGTACACGACTGTAATATTTTTAGCAACACAATGCCGGTTAGTCTTGAAATTATCAATTCATTAATTCGATAACGGTCACAACTATCGACGTATTTATACAACCTCTATAGGTATAGTACAGTATTTCACTGATATCATTAAATGCAGTAATTGCAGTACTCGCAGTTCGTATCCGTCGCAGTTCGTTGCAATTTTTCGTAATTCGTACCTATAGATAGAATATAAAATGATTTTGATTGATAAAATAACAAGTAAAAAGGGAGAATTAATTTTAATAGTTAATAAGTTTAAATTCAGCTACCATAAGCTTCTCCAAAATGCATTTAAAAAAATGTACTAAACGAGGATGCAAAGCTTATTTGAGAATTGGTAACCAAGAAAATGTTGTATGGGAATCGTCCAATCTTAACCATAACTTTTATATTTTGAGAACCACTTTTTAATAATTATATTGGGAGCGAATTCAATATTGCCTGTGTTGGGAGCTTATTCAAGTCTTGACTAGGTACCTAACCTAATATTGGGAGCCAATTCAATAGTCACCATTAATATTACTGACCTTAATAATTGTTTAATAACAATATAAATGTGGGTATCAAAAATATTTTTGTTCATATTATGATATATTTATTCGTTTCTTAAAGATATATTATGATTTACGGGACCAAAAAAAGATTTTCGTTTTATTAAGGGTTTAATCCTATGTTAAATTATAGAAACCTGCCAAGACATAAATTTCCTCACAGAAAAGGATTCTATCTTATCAAGGGTCCGTATAAGACAGGTTTTACTGTATTATACTTTTAATACTTATACAATTTTTAATTACAACGAAAAAAAAATTTTCGAAGGAAAAAACATAATTTTCCAATTGAAAATCCTATTTTGTCTTCAAATTTATTTTTGATATTTTTAGATTGATTTAAAAATAACTTGAATAAATAATACAAATATTATTTTATTTTAATTTTATTCGTAATAACGGACTTAAAGTCAAAACATTAAAGTCTAAACACTATATAGCAGTTGATATAATAAAAGTTTAAATCAAAAATTGAAATATAATATGAAAAGATAAAAAGAGAGAAAATAACTAATACATTTATAATCTTATGGACTAAAACAATAATATAGCAGATAATGTAAATATAAAGTTTTAAATATGATGATTGGATTATCATACATGAGAAAGGGAAAAAACAAAAAACAAATTATTACGAGAGGAAATCAATAGTATCCTTAACAGTTTCCTTGAGATAATAACATGTTTATGGGGAGGGGTGAATGCTTATACTTAAGTGATAATATACATTATACTATATATAATAAGATGATAATAAAACAAAGTCCTATTAAAATAATAAAATAAGGTACATTTTTTTAAAAATATTTACAAGTCATGTAATAATACTTTAAATATATCTATTT